GGCAGCTGGTCGATGTTTCTCTCTCATCAATGTTTCTAACTCTCTATCCCTCTCCCTTCCTCTCTGTAAAAAATCAATAAAATATATATATATTTTTTTAAAAAAAGAATGCATTAAAAAAAAAGTATATGAGGTTTCTTTCTGGGGTAAAGAAAATATTCTGGAATTAGACAGTATTGGTGGTTGCACAAAGGCCAGATCCTCTTTCCGGTAACAAAACCAGTGTAAATCTTATGGTATATGAATTATGTCTCAATAGAAAAGAGAAGAAAAAATATTTTTTTAAAAAAAGAACTGCCCTGGTTACCTGACAGGCCTAGGAATGAAAAGCACACACATTATAGTGTATAGGGAGCGGCTATAGAGTTAAGCCTCGGATGACCTGTTGGCAAAGCCACAAACAAGTCCCAGCTTAGAGGGCACAGCCCTCTTAGCATAATTAGGCTTGACCTTATGACTCTCCCTAGATATTATCTGGGTAGCTAATGGGCTGTGGGAGGTGCAGCAAGTGCTGCCAAAACAAGTGAAACTCACAAGAACATTGTAACTATGATGCCCACCAACTTGTTTACCTCTGGCTATAAAATAAAGGCTCAGCTTGCAGTCTGGATCTCTCTCTGTGGCCTCAGCCAGGCACAGGAAGATCCACCTAGACCCAGCTTATTCTCTTTGTCTGTCTTTTCTACATCCTTCACCCACTCCCCACCGCCCCACCGCCCCCCGGCTCACTGAACCCTTGGCTGAGCTGGCTCAGCACACATTATAGTGTGCTTAATAAATATTAGTGTTACATTTTTCTCATTTCCCTATAAATTTATACTCGACAGTAAGAGTTTTTAATGTTTTTTAAAATATTTTTTTATTGATTTCAGAGAGGAGAGGAGAGGGAGAGAGAGAGATAGAAACATTAATGATGAGAGAGAATCACTGATGGGCTGCCTCCTGCGTGGCCCCTACTGGGGATCGAGCCCACAACCGGGGGTTGTGCCCTTGACTGGAATCGAACCTGAGACCCTTCAGTCCATAGGCTGATGCTCTATCCACTAAACCAAACCAGCTAGGGCAAGAGTTTTCAATGTTTTGATAAATTTTAACACAGAACAATCATATAATTTTCCCACGGATTATTAAAATCACTACTTTGTGATTAAATTGAATACTGCCTGTGCAGTGTCAGGAAATCTCATCTGAAGCATCTTTTGAAAAAGTGTAAAGATAATTTAAGGATAGTGTGATAGCATATAATTCAAGGATAATGTGACTACCCACCTGTAATTCCTCTGCTGTGGAAACATCTAGTCCTGTTAGATCTTGTATTCTCATATTAATTCGAGACACCACAGGGTTTTCATAGCCAGAGAGCCAGGCACTATGAACAAGAAGAAATAGTCTTATTGATAATGTTTCAATACATGAAGACCAATAGCTGTCATTTAAAAAGCTGTAATATATGGGACAATAAGTCCTTATCTATAGGCATTTAGTTGATTTGCTTGTTTAATATGATTTTTACTAATGAATGTTGCATTTTTACAAAAACATGTTATATTTTACAGTTAGAAGCTGGAAAGGAAAAATTAACCTCATTATGGTTTCTATCAAAATAAGTGGATTAATGTAAGAAGGTTATAGAGTGCTATTTACATTGAGAATTTTTTTTTTTGTAAATTCTGGAAAAATCCATACCAAACTTAAAACAACTGCTCCTGCTAGGTAAGGTATGGGAATTGACTGGAGTGGAGGTCATAGGGTTTGAGGCCTGATTTATACAATGGTAGTATCTTATAAGAAAAAAATTTCACATGTTACTTGCATAAATAAAAAAAATTTTTTTTTGGTTAATCCTTACGCAAGCAAGCATATTTTTTCCATTGACTTTTTTTTTTTTTTAGAGAGAAAGTGAAAGAGAGGGGGAAAGGGAAGAGAGAAAAACATCAATGTGAAAGAGACACACCGACTGGTTGCCTCCTGCATGTGCCCAGATCAGGGCGGGGACCTAACCTGCAACCCAGGTATGTGCCCTTACGGTAACCAGGAATCAAACCCGAGACCCTTCAGTTCATGGCTGATACTCCAACCACTGAGCAACACCAGCCAGGGCTCAACATATTCTTGCTAACAGCTGCAATTCAACTGACTGGCAAAAACACAATCATGAATGAATTCTTTTCTCCACACTTACACCTGTGTCATGGAACCCTACTGAAGAAAGTCATGGAACAGGGTGGCTGTCCCACTAGAAATGCATGAACACCAACCCTTCCCAGGGCCCTTATCTCACTCCCTCCTCTACTCTGCACCCCAACCCACCTCAGCCTCTCCCTTCCCTCAGAAGATAGCATATCTCCTACCTCACAGAGAACACAGAAACCATAGAATCTACCTACATTTGCATCTACCTGCTCCTCTTAGTTCATTCTAGTTCCTTCATTCCAGCTCCAGGAGATTTCTCTCCATTATCAAAGGCGAATCCTCTGCCTTAGATTCTACTATCTCCTGCATTTTAGGAGCCATAAGTCACTGATTAGTCCTGTCTCTATTATATAATTAACCTCCCTTCTCTATAACTCCTCCCACAGCTTTTAACTGAGCTTAAGTCTCTCCCATTAAGTAAATAAAATTTAAAAGATTTCCCCTTAACTCTTCATCTCCTTCCAGCTGCCAACCTCTTTCTCCTCCCTCTTCAAGTCAACTTTTTCAGACTCCTCATTTCTCAATCTATTCCATCAAAAATTTTCTTACTAATATCTTACTAATATCACCCATAACTCTAACTAGATTTTCCAATTCTTGTTGTATTTGCTCTTCCAGTAACATATCACAATGTCCCTCCTTCTTAAAACTCTCCTTGCTCACTCATTCTCCCAGTATCTCTTCAGTCTCTGGCTGCTGCCTCCCGGTCTCCCTTACAGCCTCTACCACTACATCCTGCCTCCCCCTCTGTGCCCAGCAACACTTCCAAAACATGCTTCCTCTAGCCCTAAGGCTAGTGGCACATGCTCTTCTCTCTGCCCAGAATAGTCTTTTTCACTTTGCAAAGTGAAGCCTTTAGATTATCACTCTTGTCATCTCTCCTTCCTTGACTCTTCCCCATGCCATGCTCTGTCAAAGCTTCCTAATGGTTTTTTTGAGGAAGCGGAAGGAGGAAGTGGTTACTACTAATCATAACATGAAAATGATGTGACATGCTACTGCTATAAAATTTACATTTCTCACATCCATTTCAGAGGAAAATATATTAGGATTCTCTTTCATGGACTGACTTCATTCAGTAAAGTCATTTTTTAAATAGTAACATTTTCTCAACTGTGGTATGAAGTTGTCAGAAAGACCACTATAAAACCTATAATAATAATTGACAGGACAAGAACCACGTTAATGTACCTTTTTCACTGGTAAGGCAATTGTTTGCTATGAGTGCCACAATGATTAGCAATTTTCTCCTTAAGTAACAGATACTCAACTGTTCAAGACTGAAATGAGTTCTCTAATTTTGCCCTCTTTTGGAGCACAAGCAAATATTTTTGTTTTTTGTGTATGTAGGGAAATATTGTAAAATGCAGCTGTTGTAGTCTTCTAAATTTTTCCCTCACAATTAAACAGCAGTAATTGTTAGGAATATACCTTTGTAACATTTACAGTTTTTAAAATAGTAAGACTTCTAAATAACTTCTCCTCGCTCACTCACTAGGCTTTCTATTTTGGCACATGACCTATAACATTCCACATGTGATATGTATTTTAGTAGTTTCTTCTATTGACTATAGTTTGCCCTCAATAAGGGTTAGTATTGCGGTTTCAAACATTTTTACGTTACAGACGTTAAGTTTTCATTTCACTGAACTGAGTTTTATTTCACTCAGGTACTTATGGAAAGGTTTTGAGCACACACATATTTGCATACATATAGGTGTATAGGTGTATAAGTATTTTTAAAGTAAGACTCCAAGGCCAACTACGAGAAACAATTTTTTTTAATTAAATCTTTATTGTTCAGATTACATTTGTTCCTCTTTTTTTCCCCCCCATAACTCCCCTCCTCCCAGTTCCCGCCCCACCCTCCGCCCTCACTCCCCACCCACTGTCCTCATCCATAGGTGCACGATTTTTGTCCAGTCTCTTCCCGCATCTCCCATTCCCCTTTCCCCGCCAAGAATAGTCAGTCCATTCCCTTTCTATGTCCCTGATTCATTATAATCACCAGTTCATTCTGTACATCAGATTATTTATTCACTTGGTTCTTAGATTCACTTGTTGATAGATGCATGTTTGTTGTTCACAATTTGTATCTTTACCTTTTTCTTCTTCCTCTTCTTAAAGGATACCTTTCAGCATTTCGTATAATACTGGTTTAGTGGTGATGAACTCCTTTAGCTTTTCCTTATCTGTGAAGCTCTTTATCTGACCTTCAATTCTGAATGATAGCTTTGCTGGATAAAGTATTCTTGGTTGTAGGTTCTTGGTATTCAGCACTTTGAATATTTCTTGCCATTCCCTTCTGGCCTGCCAAGTTTCTGTTGAGAAATCAGCTGACAGTCGTATGGGTATTCCCTTGTAGGTAATTGAGTCTCTTTCTCTTGCTGCTTTTAAGATTCTCTCTTTGTCTTTTGCTCTTGGCATTTTAATTATGATGTGTCTTGGTGTGGTCCTCTTTGGATTCCTTTTGTTTGGGGTTCTCTGCGCTTCTTGGACCTGTAAGTCCATTTCTTTCACCAGGTGGGGGAAGTTTTCTGCCATTATTTCTTCAAATAGGTTTTCAATATCTTGCTGTCTCTCATCTTCTGGCACCCCTATTATTCTGATGTTGGTACGCTTGAAGCTGTCCCAGAGGCTCCTTACACTATCTTCGTATTTTCGGATTCTTTTTTCATTTTGCTTTTCCGGTTGGGTGTTTTTTGCTTCTTCGCATTTCAAATCTTTGACTTGATTCTTGCGCTCCTCTGGTCTGCTATTGGGTGTCTGTATAATATTCTTTATTTCAGTCCGTGTATGCTTAATTTCTAGTTGGTTCTTTATCATAGCATCGAGGGTCTCATTAGTTTTCGTGACTCTCTCCTCAAGTTTATTGACAGCTTCTAGCACATTTTTGCAAGCCCTCAAAATTGCGATTTTTAGCTCTATATCCTCCATTTCTGTCATGTTTTTTTGTCTCCGCATTTTTTATGCTTTCTTGGTGCACCCCCTAGTGGTCTTTGTGCGCAGTCTTGTTCTAGTTGAGCCTTGATTGTTGTAGTTAATACTAGAGGGATTTGACCACCAGGCCGACTGGCTGTGTGAATCAGCTGTGTCTGCCGCGGAAAACTTCTGTCCTCTGGGGAGGTGCTAATCTAGCCTTTGCCTGAGGCTATCCGGCAAATGGCTCTGCGCAGGGCTTGGGCGGGGCGGGATCAACAGGGCAGGGCGGGCGGAGGGAGCCGTTATGGTGCCCTCAGTCCTGTTCCCAGAGGCTCTGCTTCTCAGAACCCCCGGAACCGCTGCAAACCTCGGAGGGAAAGCTGCCTTCCAACTGATGCCAGACACTCCCGCTTCTCCCGTTTGGGTCCGAGTCCCCAGCGATTCGCCCGTATCTGGAGCTCAGAGTCTGAGACTCCCCCCTGACCGAAAACGACAACCGCGCTCTCAGCCACCAGCCCGCTTTGCGCGCGCACCTCCGCACCTGAGTTTTTTCCACACTGCGCCTCCTCTGAGCCTCGGTGTGCTGTTATTTTTCCTTCTAGTTGAAGAGTCTCTCCTCAGCCAGCCTTCCTGTGGTTCTGGGTGATGTCCGTTCCGTCTTTTAGTTGTATTTTTGAAGTGGTTGTTTGCGGCAGCAGTCTCCGGTGTTTACCTATGCCGCCATCTTCGGCTGACCCAGTTGTGGAGTGAGAAACAGTTTTTCTTCCTTAGAAATCCTTTTCTAGGTTGCGAAGGGTAAGTACTGTTTGCTTAAGAGTGTTTTGAGGCTCTCGTCTCTTTATCATCTATTAACACCACATTGCCATGTCTTACTGCCTACATGCATGTCCACTTCCTCTGCAGCACTAGCCTCTTAGAGCAGCGACTTTCGACTGAATTTTAAAAACATGCAATACCTGACTAGTCAGGGGCTGACCTCTCTTCCCTTAGACTGTCAAATAAAAAGTAAATTTTAAAAAGGACACCTGCCAACACAATAGCCATCCAGTGTGAATGAGTCAAAATTATACCTTTTTGGTCAGATCAACAAAAAACATATTTTTTGTTGTGCCACAAAATTTTAGTAGTTTATGTGTGCCAAGAAGTGAAAAGGTTTGAAAGTCGCATCTTAAAGTACTATGTCAGAAACAGGATGTTGTTGACTTAAGCACCCAATGCTGTTTGCACCTTTCAATAACTCTCATTCTCCACTTT